ATTTATTATGGTTTATAATGGCAAATGATACTTTGAATATAACATGTTAATAACTTGATTGGAATTATAACCTTGAGTTGACAGTTTGATACTTTGAACATTTTGAGCCAGCCCTACCCCCAAGGGCTGTAGAGTGGGGCCCAAAGGAGTCAGTGTGCTAAAATTTCTTCATTTTCCTTGTTTAGAATCAGAGTTGCTAGTTTCAAATACTTTTAAGTCTTAAATCTGTATGCTAGATATTGAATAAGGTGGTTTTATTGTTTTTTGTCACTTTAAATAATATTTCTGTTCATGTTAAAAACAAAATCAACTCTCTGTATAAATATATCAGGTGACCGTTAAGGCCCATGGGCCTCTTGTTTATATTTCCTGTTACATTAAGCACTCAACTAATCTAAATAATAATCTTTATAAGTATATGTACACAAACTTCAAACAATAGACCACAGCTGAGCTATATATATCCTGCAAGTGTGGGGATATAAATTCCACAGATTTTCTTGTTTCATTTTCAGATGACATCTTTGATGTTACTATAAATAAAAGTAAAACATAGAACTTACATTAATTAACATACAATTCTAGAATGAATTAGTGCATTTCTTTTTTAGAACAAAATTTTAGTTTGTAAACAAAGAGGGTGGGGTGAAGGAGGCAACTAAACGTGTACATACACCTATGGCGTAGCTGGATTGATGACAATTTCATTGTTGCCAGCTTGCACATATCAAGTTAAAACTTGTTTTATTTTCTGTGTAATACACACTCGATATAGGATTCGAAAACAAGTACAAAGTACTTATGTTAATCCGTCTCCTTGTACATATTTGCACCTTAATGTACACATGCTTTACTGGTCATTTGTCTGATGAAGGTGACAAAATGTATTATATTGTACAAGTCCTCTAAACATCACACATAGACTTTTCACTGATTGAAGTAATGGGCAGTGACCAGTAAACCACAGAACTATCCCCCATACTTGATACAAAGAATAAATGTTGGTTTTTTTCATTCTATTATCTTCCATTTCAAGTTAAATAAAGGAAAAAGATATTGGCGTTACTGTAGACTCGGAACTGAGTTTGGAAAACCATATCAGCGAAAAAGTAAAAAAGGCAAACCAAATTTTCGGACTGTTAAGAACTTTTAATTTTATGAATTATACCACCTTTCTCCCGTTATACAAACGTTTAGTAAGATCACAACTTGCCTATGCTAGTTCCGTTTGGGCACCGTATAAAGCAAAAGATATTGATAGAGTGGAAGCCGTGCAGCGCAGAGCAACTAGGAGTTTACCGGGGATGAAAAACTTAACATACCAAGAAAGACTACAAAAGCTGGAACTCCCAACACTATCATACAGAAGGGCTAGAGGGGATATGATTGAACTATATAAGATAATAAGCGGAATATACGACAGGGAATCCTGTAATTTTATTAAACTTTGGAAGGATGTAACAACGCGTCACAGCAGTAGGAGTAATTCAAAAATGATCTTCCCGCAACAATTCAAAACTACACTAAGGAAAAACAGCTTTGGTATTAGAACTGTAAAAATGTGGAACGGTCTTCCCGAGGACGTTGTATCGGCACCTAATATAAACACTTTCAAGAATAGACTGGACAAAATATGGAAAAATCAGGAAATACTTTATAATTATAAGACAACCATAGATGGAAGTGAACTCTAATATTTAATCATGAGAACATATTACATGTATAATAGAGTCCGGTGTAGAGGAACATATTGTTCCTGTACTGGAAAATAACTATAACTACTATAACTATTTCAATCCTCGCATAATCTCTTTATCATCCAATTCAGTATATAGTCCTGAAACATTTAAATTTTACTTAACTCCAAGTTTAAGTCATTTTTCTCTCTGCACTGTTATTATAATCAAAGTTATTTTCTTTCTTTTTCAGCAAACACCTAAAAGAATACCACTGACCAATGCAGAAATCTCGGAGACCAATATAGACAAGAAAAATTTTGCATTCCGCTTAAAATCCAAAGACATTAAGCGAACATTTTATATTCATGCTGACAATGAAAACATTCAGAATGAGTGGATGCAAGCAATATGTTTTGCTAAAGCAGCAGGGAGACATGGCGACATGTCACAAGCATGTGTGGTACAGTGATCGTTTGAGACGACTCGTCCCAAACATAGGTACTATAGTGATAACATGCTAAAACAACGTTCCTTGGCCCATCTCACCTCGATTCAAGTTTAACTGAAAGAGGAGGAAGCACAGCCTAGATTTTCACAAGTTAAAGACATATGAACATACTTATATTTTGTGAAATAGACTTACTTTTAGTATTCCAGAATTTTGTGAGCAATATTTGGCCTGCAGGAATGAACACATATATACAGTTACATACATGTACCCGGTATAGGAATTTGCTGGAACTTCCAAGGCTCTGTCTATATGAGAACCCTCAAACTTCTAGAGATGGTGTCTTAAACAAGACATTATTGCAGCTTTATCATAACTATGTGAACCTCCTACTGGAGAGAAATCAGTGTTATTTATTGATGATG